ATGGTGCCGCTTACTTACCTGAACTGAACCAGTTTTCAAATTCTACATATGAACAGTGAAATTGTATAAGATATGCACGTGATAGCATTTCACATTTTATAGTCGAACAACAACTTGTATACATTGGGAACTGATTAAATTTCGTTGTGCTTGATCCCTGGCTATTCTGCCCATATTCCCTTCGTGTGACAGCTCTGTTTATATGGTTGCAGCAGTGATTCACAGATAGTAAAATATGTGTAATATTCGTCATTCTTAGGGAGGATTTGAAGCACCCACCAGGTGAGATGTGTGTTCAGTCAAGGTAATCATCTTCACCATTTTCCATGCGCTCAGAAATAAGCTAGACCAACCGTTTAACTGGTCGCCAAGATGGTTGTGCCTGTGATAACACCATACAACAAGATAATGCTAGACCAGGGTCCTAAATAGTGTGAGGACGAATGTAATCTGAATAGATGGGGATGCACCATTAGCTGGATGTGGCGTCTGGTTAAATCTTGGGTTTATGATTGCTAAGGTGGATAGAGATTAACGGTCCGACCGACCAAGTAAAATCACATTTCGTTGTAAATTGTGCATCTGAGCGGAAGCCACCACAACCAGTAAAAATAAACTGACCGGTTTTGACGAGCTCAAAATTTGAGTAGGCCAAAAATCGAGGGAAGGAGGAGAATGCGTCTAAAGATGAGAGTGAAACAAATTGGAATTAGATTTTTCGATCGCAAATAATTATACAACCTTTTACGAGTCATTCACTTTTCTCCAGAGCTGCATCAATCTGTATTACTGATATGAAGTTGGCAACAAAATTTGTCCGTGAACTGAACGTTTGGATGACATGCCCACTAGAATGTCGCATCCCCTGTGCTACGTCGGGTTATCTCTGCCACGCAAAACCAAATGTGCTGCTCGTCAGCATTGAAGAGCGCCTAGTAGATTGGCGTTCTCGAAAACGAGTAATGCTTCAGCGATCCAGCATGGTACCTCCCCGGAAGATAAAACCCATCGTCAAATATAACGGCGATGCTTATCCGGATAACCTAGGGGGACAGCCAGCCAAACAGTCACTGTGCTCCCGGATGCTCAACCTAACAAGACACAACCCACCGTACCCGCTTGTTTGCCCGAATAAAGACGTCCACGTTAACAGATATCGACCGCTGATTGTGGCCCAGCATGAATTACACACTGATAGTGACCGCTTATACGACTCACTGAAAACGAGTGCACGTTGAACGCAGAGTTGAGACCGAATTTAGTCTCGCTCATTTGGACTGACGGCTGGCAGAAAAAGACAACTGCGTGATTCGAGCCCATGTAGGCACTCTAGATGGAACAGCAGGCAGTAAACGATGGCAACGGAACGATCTGTGATCACTGCACACCAATGGTCAATTTCCTTTGTTCTTGAAGTTCAGCCAAATGAGCCTGGACAGCGCTCCACCTGTCGAGTGATTCACGTATGTCATCGGGCACCGAAATGACCTTCTGCACCTTCCGCCCGTATTCAAACCAATCACTCATTTGTCTCTCAGTCCAGTCGTAACAAATAATTGGGTGTATTTCTTCAGTCACATTTTATCAACATTGATGACATTAAACTATCAGAGGAATGAATTTAAAATTGTGCATTTTAAGAACGGCTCCGATAGTATCTGGTTTCATGAACGCATTTAATATTCAACTTAATTTCCTTTAAACCACCGCCTTAGAAATGGAAATAAAGTGGGCTTCGTGTGTACTGACTTCATCCCGTCTACAGTTTGTTGTTTTGTACGTTCACGGTTTTACCTGTCGGTTTACTGATTTATTTGCCTTAGATGGAGATGAGATGAGGTATGAAGGCAATGTTGACCATAAAGCACAAGGATGTGGTATTTCAAACACACGCAGAGGATGAGCATACACGTGCGATTTTCCAAGAACTGCATCCAATAATCCGTATAGTGGAGGAATGTCCCGGACGACCGAAGGTTGGGACTCAATAGAGCGTGATTTGACATACTATCAGGTCGTATGTCGGATACTTACAAGCACCTACGTAATGATACAGTCACCCGAGTATTTCGCTTAAGCTGCCAACAGAACGCACTCAAGTTCACGATGTTGAACAAGCGAGGTTATCCTCACTTCTGCTGACGACCTCCAGCTGAACTGTTCCAAGTCCCATAGAAAGGCTTTCTGTAGGCTGATGTTTATTGAAACCACCAGTACCAAAACACTTAATGTTAATCTGGTTGATGTCGTTGAATTGGGTGACGGAGGAAAAACGATTGTCTCTAGGATCACTCACAAGTGATAGATTGATAACCCCACATGCCTGTTTGATCAAAATTGTTTACGCAGTCTGTCCTAATCGAATTCAGCTGATTGTGGGACAAATTCCACGTATGGTATTTAGCGAATGGGAATGCATAGGATACACATCCAATCAAGTGCATCATTTTCAGTGTGTGGCCGAAGAAGCAGTGAATGCCCAAGGGAACACGGAGACACGGAATGCTTCGCCTCTTTATTCGTCATCCCAATGGTCTTCAAAGATGGACACCTAAGAATGTGGAAGCAGTTAGTTGTACGGCTAGCTTCGTCCGTTTGCCTGCTGCCCACCTGTCTGCGGTAGGTACTTTGAAACATAAATGGCCAGTGGCTCAATGGTGAACCAATCGTTGGCGACATTGTCAATGCTGAGTATGCGGAAAGCAAGGCCAACTAGAAGCGATGTTGCCGTGAAACAATCAGCGATGTCATCCGCACTTCCATGCTTACCTGACGACGAGACAGTTCGTACGCATTTAGGGAAATGCACCCGTTTACAAGTTGGTCTGAAGTTATAGTGACACTTGAATTGTTTCATCGTTTGAAATATTGAACCGATATTGACGCGCTGTGATGGGCTTGCCAAATTCGTCCAGACACGAGTGGACCAACAGAAGAAATTAAACAGAATAAGGTGGTGGTGAAGACATTTTGGGGACGACAGGGTATCCGATTCTGCAAATTACCCTCCTGCACGTAGGCTCCCGCTGAAGTGATGACGAATTATTTTTTCAATTAGAGCAAAATCGTGAGCAACGCAGAGCACTGTTGCTTGCGATTACCTGTGAATTTGGCTGAAATTGTCAACTAACCATCTCTGAAAAATCTCACCAAATCTAAAACAAAAGTATTTTATGCCGAGTGTAATCAAGTATTGTATGATCTTGTATGATACACCGTGGAATAATACACTATGGTATGTTGCAACGTAAGCACTTCTTGATTGGCGGGATACATTACAGTGTAGTGTGATATTCCATGAGGCGAGACAGAGAAAAAGAGACAGAGAGAAAAGCCGAGAGTTAGAATAACGAAACGAGTACTCAGAAATGTCTTGTTTTGCTAAAACTTTGAGACCTCATACAGTGTCTTTGGTCTTGAACAAGTACATTTACGATACAGGGTTCACCAGAGCTGCTGTTGGTAGCGCGTTTCGGTGTGACTCTGATTGTAACCAGATGACCAGGTGGCTTCATGCCATGGTCACTCGCTTGGCAAGTCATTTGGATCCATGATCAATGAATGTGCACACGTATACCGGTGATCCTGCACCTACGATGCAATTTGTCTAATAAAATGGGAATTCACGGTGTAATCATTGTCCGCTGTTGAATAGTCAGACGTACGCCCGGAGTACTGCGCGGAGTTAGCCAGGAGGAAGGACCCCGTACCTACGGTTATCCAACGTAGCCGAAATCGATCAAGATTTGCAAAACTACTAGCACATATATCTGGTCATGTTGACGGGCCACCAAGTCAAATCTGGTGTTCCTACAGAGGAAACGAAGCACACATTTTCAGTCTGCTTTCATTCCACTCATCGATTTGCAAGGCACGAAATGTTTCTTAGAGCCAAGCTGGTAGACGCCTGAAGACCTGGATGGAAATGATGGGGTTTGCAATAGATTATTTCCGTCTTTCTAGTTCATCTAGATATGTTTCGAAGGCATGCGCCGCCGCACTATCAATTTGTGTGACACGATCATATGTTCAGTTTCCATAGCTTCTCCATTATCCAACCAGTTCATCTTCACAGATGTATCGGACGTACACTAAGTTAATTCAACGAAACTATAAAGCCATTATTCAGTAATTTGTACGCTGTGATTCCTGTGTTTGGTTAATAAACTCTGGCATAAACGTTCTTCACCAAAGTGTTGCGAAGTTATCTCAAAACGGATAAATCGCCGTCCTTGGATGTGTCCAACTTACGGTCGTTGAGTTCTACAAATTTTGCAAATGACTGGATGATAGAAGGTTTTAGAGCATCTCATCTGGAGATGTTTGCCAAAATGTTCGAATACATACTTGGTGGCCGGTAAACCTGTGTCCGGATTTCAACAGTAATGCACAGGAATCGAGGGAAATGTCCAGATATTTTATGCCGCACCCTTCAGTACAATGAGTTGCGTAACACAAATTAGAGCGAGGGAACGCGAAGTATTTGGTGGCGGTCGAATTAATACGTTAGTCTTTTTGGCAGGCATTTACAGGACGGAAGATTAGGGCGGTCAATATCACTAAGGGATACGTAGCTCAACCACGCATAGTTACCTAATTGCTGTTTCGCGCATTCGAAATTTGCATATCATCCTGGGACTCACACCGGCTTCATAGAAACAAAAAGCAACAGACAAGGGGATGTGCACTTCAAATGTGAAGTGTACTTTGAATTGAAGAAGCCGCTTTGGGCAAAGAAACCATCAGGTAACTGAGTTGTCGTGTTTTTGATTACTCGTTAATTGGGGTATCTCAAAAGATGGTAGGAAAGTCAACAAAGAAAATCTGATCGATAAAACGATGACATCAACTACAGTAAAAAAATAAAGCAATGAATTTCAAAAATCGTTTCACAAACGTAGATGAAGTTTCGCGGACTAAATCAACGGAATCTGGCACAAAATAATGAAACAGTCGTAGCAACTGCAGCCAACCTCAGTCTTTTTAGAAAAGCGATTTACATGTGAACAACTCTACAAGATTATAAAAGGCAACATGCTATCTACAACAAACTGATACACGTTGATCCCACAAATATTTGCCTAGATGCGAGAAATTCAAACTGTGATCTCCTGATCATTTTCGTTGTAATACGGCATCCAAATTACCCAGGATATTAAAACTGCTGGTGTCGGCCAGGGAAGCTGAAAACGCAAAATTCGACGGTTTCGGTGAAGAATGTTCAAAGTTTTCACGGTACAAAAATATTTCCCGATTGCAATTTAATAGAAAAATGTATTACATAATGCATCAAAAATATTTGGAATGCACAATCTTTAAAAAAATATTGGTTTATATTTAAAGGAACGTGTTTTGGTCGTTCAACCTATTCACTCCCCTACCATGTCTGTCTACACTCATGCTACGTATATACTATATATATTACATAAACTGATCTGAACCTTTCAAATGTGATGAGCATTTTTTATGCACCCTAAAAGCGCAATGATCGACGGGGTGAAGAAGGTACATGAAGTCCACTCAGATACTCCAGATGGAAGAGAAGCCATTGGTCGATTGTCGCCCCAGGTAATCAGACGGAAAACTATCTATATGTTGTCTTGGCTGGTTTGTGCATATCATGGTCAAACTATATCCGTTGTGCTGGAAACTGGAGCTGCAAAACAGTGATCGCCGATCAGCACACAACGGTAATTTTCTTTGTTCGTGAGTCTGGTGCTCACACATAAAACTGCAGCAGGATACACAAAGGCTTTTTCCCATTTCTCCTACAATCTAGAACCTCCGCCAAGTCCTCCGCCAAAGATGTATACACTATATATTGTCCTCGGTCCTATTATCACATGAAACCCGATTGCTTGGAAAATGTCGGAACAACAGCTCACGTTAAGTAGCACGAATTGCATCTCAATTCATAGTGATAAAAAAGCTGTTGGTCATCGCTTAGCAAGTAGCATCATCAAGACCGGCAAAATCAGCAACAGTTTGCGATTCATCTTCAACCCGATACAAGTGAGAATAGTTTGCCTCCCGATCTCATTTTATACGCACAAACAAACTAGATGTGTATGGCATTTCTCTTGAGAAAACCTATCCACTGGCTCTAGTGAAAACGTCCTGCGCACATGCCTTTCATAAGCATATATGGTGAGAACTAAATAACACCTCGGTCAACCACGTGTATACTAATGCTGTGGGTATATGGGTAACAGGTCGCTAGAGAAATGTGTGCGGCACC